CGAGATAAAATGCTCTTAAGAATAATGTATTTACTTTATCCTAATAATATTTGAAAATGTAAAACAATATCACACACTCATGTACTCATAAAATTGAGAAAAATTTAAAAGTTACTCACTTCAAATTAACAGTGAGGAGAGGGAAATGAAAATATTTGCACCACTTTGGTGTGGCTATAAAAATAACAGACATTTTGGAAAACAATTTGTACATATGTAAAAAGTTTATATCAAAGTATAATTTCCAATTAAAAGAATAAACATGGAACAAAACTGCAGAACAGACAAAAGAAATTTGCTTAGTAAGGCATTCGGTAGTGTACCACGAGAGGTGTGTATGTGTGTGCAAATTTGCACCACACTTCTGGTGAGGACATGAGTTTACACGAGAACCTGACTGCGAAGGAGAAGAGTGGGATCCTGTTTACCTCAAGCGGAGGAGAAAGCTGATTTGGATCAGGATCAATACTCACCAGAATACGAAGGGTGTAAAAGAATTCCAATTTTTTTTAAAAAATAGGTTTTTGATTAAAAATAAATGCACAGGGGAAATGTGAATGTATGGAAAGTCAATTGAAAGCTCATGTGATACTGATTACTAAAAACGATTAGATTTTCATTTTGGAAACTGTGAAGTTATAGTATCAATATTTATTAGAATTCTTAAAATTAGTAGACTCACATCAGTTAATGTTTGTGAAATTGGACAGTTTGCAAATACAAAATATTTTGGGTATACCATGGAAACTAAAAACTATGAAAATGTATTTTAAAAAGATAATTATAGTGTTATGTGTAATAGACAAAATAAATTATCAAGAATGCACACAAAGATTAGCAAACTATACGATTAAAATTTCAATAAAAATGCCACACAGAAAACAAACATGTAAAATGAAATTTAAGTCATATGTAAATAAATTTCTTCTTGTAAAATTCATGCCCCATAAAACGACAGTCTGTTTTTAAAGCAGTGATTTAAAATCAGGTATGGTGGCGCAGTCCTGTAATCCCAGCACGCACCAGGCTGAGGCAGGAAGGTCGCACAAGTTAGAGGCCAGTTCGGGCTACACAACGAGTGGAGGGTCAGCATGAAATATAGAGCAAAACCCTGTCTCAATAAATACATAGGTAAATAAATAAATACACAAATAAGTAAATTAATCTAATTTAAAATTCAACATAGAGGCAAGGAGTTAATGGCAGCCCTTACATTCACATGGAATGACCGCCTCTAGCAAGTTACATCAATTAAGTGGATATTGAAACAGCTGGGATTCATCCTCTAATTTTCTAGACTTTCCAGATCCTTAGTTACTTACAGTCTGAAGGATTTTTTTTTGTAAATTTCTCAAAATTTAATATTGAAAGTCAAATAAATAAATGTTCCAGAACATCTCCATCACCGCAGATGACACCTGAAGGATTTCTCTCCTCCTTTGCCTGTCTGCGCTGTGGGGATCCTTTCTCCACTGCTGTGTATTTTTCTGCTGTGGATGACGCATGTCAAAGGTTCACAGGAAAAGTGGCTGGTTTTTGCCTGGATCCATCAAATTCCTGTCAGGCTTTCAAGATTCTTCCTCATTGAAGCATTTTGTGGGATTTCATACTTGATTTTTAATTGTGTTCATTATGCTTCACATAAATCCTCCACCCTTAATATTTAAAATGTGCAATGCAGTACTGTTAACTCTGAGCAGAGTGGTAGCAAATCTCTGGAACTTAATCACGTCAAGAAACTGAGATGTGCTATATATTGTAGTATTTTTTCTTTGCTTTGTTTTTTCTGTTGTTCTCTTTTGCATTCTGGGGATTGAACCTGGGCCTTAGCACTGAGCTACAGGACAGGGCCTCCCCTCTTTATTGAGAGCTGCTCTCACACTTGAAATTTAGCTGCCTCAGCCTTCCGAAGTCCAGGCATTACAGACACATGTGAGAGCTCCTGGCTGAGCAGTTCTGCGTTTGTTACACACTTCGGTTCTTGCCACTATCTTCCCACTTTTAGATTCTAACCGTTTGAGTCTGTTATGGATCCCATGTGTAGGATGGCACATTATTTGTCCTTTGAATATTTTATTCCACTTAGCAGAATGTCATTCTGGCTCATCCGTGTTACTGCATATGGTAGGATATCCTTGATAAGTCTGATATTCCATTATTTATGGAAGATACATTCTATTTATTCCTTCCTAAGTAATACATATCTAGGTTGTTTCTAAATCTTGGCTATTTCAGGATTTATGACAGTGAATATGGGAATAATAATACCACTGAGAGAAACTTTAAATGCTAATACTCCTAGAAAAAACCTAGACATGGTGTTCTAGATCCTACAATAAACCAAAGTTGATTTTAAAATGTCCTAAGCAATTAGTGGACAACCTCCAGGCATTTGATTGTAAATTCAAATGACTTAGGGTTAATCTCCAATGGTTTTGCATCTCCCCAGACAGATTCAAAAGTCAAAAAAAAAGGTCCATAAATTGTCCTCACACTCCACAGGTTAAGAAACACAGAGACTCAAGAGAGTGATTTCACTCCAGGTAACGAAGATGGACTATTTCATGAGCTGTCGTGTGTTATCAAAATCTAAAGAATGGGTCCCGATTTGCAATGGCTTCACCATTTGGGAAAGGGACTATTTTTGACTCAGTTTCTGTGCAATCACCTTGTAATGCTTGCAAAGTAATGGAACCTCAAGGTTCTTCATATTAAAATTTGCAAAAAGTCCTCATAGCCTGAGGCAGAAATCCCCTTTGAAATACACATTGTGTGTGTGTGTAGAAAGTTTTTCACCTTGTATGCATGTAATGTTGGACCTCGCAGATGGTAACACTGAGAGGAGTTTTACTGTAAGTGAAAGGATGTAGAATTTCTGAGGCAGATATTGAAACAGCAGTGATTCAGCCTCTCAGTTTGATCTCTGGCAAATACTTAGGTACTGAGAGGTTCTAAATTCCTTTTGACTACCTTAAATTAAGTATTTGGATGTATATGATTTTGTTAATAAATGTAAAAATGAGCTCTATTATTGATATCTTTCTAAGGAAAAACAATTTCCCCTTTACACTGAGATATAGGGATTGACTTTTGGAGTAAATATTTTATGACAAGTTTAATAATAATAGTAAGATGTTCTTTTAGCTGTGCCATCTGACTAAATTTTTCTCAGACTACCTGTTTAAAAATATATATGATTATTCAATTATAATTAGTCAATTGTGGAAGGTAATTTCCATGTATCTCCAAAAATGGATAATGTACATCTATTTCTCTACATTACATGGATCTTTATATTTCATTATCATGTGAATATTGTTTTGTAATCTTTCATTTTTAGAAACCAAGCCAAACCAACATCAAAAAGGATTTGAACTGTTTCTTGCTGTGCTTATTAAAGGTATTTCTCAAATGCCATTATCTGGCCCATGTTTGTATTTAATTTTAGGGTGATGTCTGAAAAGGCAGAGTAGGAGATTAAATACCCACAACCACACAAGGAGCATTTTATGTGAGCTCTACGGCAATAACCTGAGATCAGTTTGATGTTCAGTGTGAACTTGAATGCCTTTTCTGTTTGCTTGTAGCTCAAGTTCAGCTTTCCATCATGGTAGCTCTCACTTTAAGGTGTGTCATTTCCATTTCTTTTGTTATTAAAAAATGAAAAATTTTGCTCACAAGTTTTTATACCAATGAAAATTAACTTACACTAAGATGCGATATTCACCTCCCACTATGCTATACTTAAATCTTTAGGATATGAGCAATTCAGAGGCATTTTGTTTGGTCTACATATAGCTGTCTGCATAATGTGCTCTATCATATTTGGAATAAGTCCTTCTGACACATCACACACAGGGTTCCCGAATCCATCCAATAATCTGTGAATATATCATCTTTACTACTGCGCTGTGGGTAGGATATTGTATAGCAAGCACACTTCCTATTTTATAAAATATATGCTTATGAAATTTATTACAAAATGTCAGCATTATTTTGCATCAATCATAGCATCTTTTATGCAAGAGAATTTTATGACTCTTCAGTTTCTAAATCCCATGCTGATGACTCATGTTTTTCCTAATTTACACAGAATTCTTCGTACCATCCCAGGTTTGGCACGATAAAGTTTATCTGATTTGCTATATACAAATAAGTGTATTTCAATTGTAATAAAAATAACCAAAGGGGAAGAATATTTTCAATAAATTTATGTAAAAGCAACTTATATGAAAACATCACTATCCTACTTGTTAGCAATAGAAGGTCAGTCATGAAAATGGCCTAAAAATACTCATGGATCAGGAGCATAGTGAGGGAGAAATACAAGCACATTTATTTTATATAATTAATATAACTATACATGTTAAATAAAAACTATCTCAAGGGAGTTACCATTACCACTAGAAAACACAAATATACAGATGTGCTTCATCTACGAGAACTATTTCAGAAATCTTGGACACACCAAGTCACTTAATTATTCTTTCAATCAATATTGCAAGGACATGTTTTTGTATATGAGTGTAGAGTTTGAGATAAATTGTTACTCCAAAGTAAACATTCTATGTCTAGTTACCTGTCTATGTATGAAGACCTCTTGATCTTGGAAAAAAATTTAAGGATGGGTTTATTGTTTTGTAGTGAATATTGGATACAGTAGGATGTTTAGTTGATTGACTAAGGCCAGTGGTTGTTTATTTTGCAACAAATACCACCAAACCATGGCTGAACAGTTAATAAGATAATTCTATGAATACAATCACTCACAATGAGAAGTAGTAATGTTCTGATTTCTATACATATATATGAATATTTATACATAAATATATTCATATACAGTTTATTTAAAATTATATACAATAGCATGCTTTTTGGAAAATATTCTATATTGGAATATTTGAATGTATCTTATTTACCCAGTTTGGCATAAAAAGCATCCTGCAGGTGATTATATTTCTGTTTTTACCCTATGCTGATGTTCTTACAAAAGTCGGTCCTCTGATCACCCTGGATGGAGGAGCACAACCTCACCACGGTGACCGAGTTCATCCTGCTGGGCATCACAGACCGTCCCGAGCTGCAGGCTCCACTGTTCGTGCTGTTCCTCATCATCTACCTGACCTCACTGGTGGGCAACGTGGGCATGATCGTGCTCACCCAGGTGGACTCCAGGCTGCAAACACCCATGTACTTTTTTCTCAGACACCTGGCTCTCACTGATCTTGGCTATTCTACAGCTGTGGGACCCAAAATGTTGGTAAATTTTGTTGTGCATCCAAATAAAATCTCTTATTATTGCTGTGCTGCACAGCTTTCTTTATTTCTTCTGTTTATTGGTAGTGAGCTTTTTATTCTGTCTGCCATGTCTTATGACCGCTATGTGGCCATCTGTAAGCCTCTCCTCTACAATGTCATAATGTCACAAAAGGTATGCTGGATGCTGGTGGCAATACCCTATCTCTACTGCACATTTATGTCACTTGTAGTCACTGTAAAAATTTTTACTTTATCCTTCTGTGGCCAAAATGTCATCAGTCATTTCTACTGCGACTGCATCCCCTTGCTGTCTTTGCTGTGTTCAAATACACATGAAGTTGAATTGATAATTATGGCCTTTGCAGCTTTTGATTTGATTTCCTCCCTTCTGATGGTCCTCGTGTCCTACCTGCTCATCTTTGTGGCCATTCTCAGGATGAACTCCACAGAGGGCAGGCGCAAGGCCTTCTCCACCTGCGGGTCCCACCTGACCGTGGTCACAGTGTTCTACGGGACTTTGATATTCATGTACGTGCAGCCCAAGTCCAGTCACTCCAAAGACACTGACAAAATGTCTTCCGTATTTTATACTTTGATCATCCCAATGTTGAATCCTTTGATCTACAGCTTGAGGAACAAAGATGTAAAATGTGCCCTTCAAAAGACCTTGAGAAGGATAAGCAATATCTCCTGTTAAGGGTTGCATACATTGTGAGTCCTGTGGTATGCAGATCGGGATGAAAACCTTATGTTTCCCTTCAGAATATATAGCAATTTCCAATGCTCTCAGCACATATTTAAAGATTAGCTCTCTACAAAGCTATAAATATGGCCTTAATCAAAGCAGCTAAGTGTGTGACTTCTTTGAAGCGAAGCATTTTAAACATAGTGACTGAATAAACAGTATAGTATACTAGAATAGACTTAGGTTCTGTAGACCATGAGAGCAGGCAGCAGAAAGTGTACATTCCATGTGCATGAGGAAAAACAATCAACACAAGTGAGAGATTAAATGATTCATTAGCCTATTCACAACCATTACTATAAACTTTCCAGTGTCCGTGTGTGTGTGTGTGTGTTGGCATGTATGTCCACTCTTTTGAAGCAAAGTTGACCTCTTTATTACAAGTTTCATAAATCTCTGTTGTTTAGGTTACATTTGAACTTGATCATGGTGTCAAGATGCTCATTGTAGTGCAAGGATGGGAAGGAAGCTGTCTTGGAATACGCTCCAATGCACTTATTCAAAGTGGAGAGCTTGGGAGTCTTATATTTTCCTATGCTTTCTCAGCCATGAGCCAAGAAAATGTTTTTACTCAATATATCTGGCTATTTAGCACAGCATAGCTTCAATGCAATACATAATTTTGCCTATTCCTCTGTGTGTGTGTGTGTGTGTGTGTGTGTGTGTGAATGTGTGCATCTGTACACTGATTAAGACAAATTTCTCATTCTGGGACATTTTTTCCTTCACTCACTAGTTTGTCCATTATACCGCATTGCCTCTTTTGTTCTAATGGATGATTACCCTTCCTTACCATTCAAATAATAATTTAAATGTATGCATTATAATCTATGTGTTATTTTATTCATACATAAAATGTCTACCCTCTAACAAACTACACTTCTAATTTTTCTTTTTTATGACAGACTTTTGTGACAGACTTGTTTATGTGAATGTATCCCAACCTTATTAGGATTCATTCTTTGAATCAATTTGATTATCTGATTGGCAGAAGCCGATGGATAATCTTATGAATTGATCCATGCCATACTGATAATGAGTGTAGTATGATATGCATCAATGTATGTAGGATTTCTGAAAATACCTCAGCAAAACCCTCTTCAAAGTTTCCCATGCGCCATCATTATTTTTAGTATTAATAGCTGTAGCATTTTACTTGCATCATGGAAAGATTTATGTAACATATAATAAAATATCTGTACAGTCAATGAAATATGAATAGAAAAAATTAATTGGAATTATAAAAGTCTGTTTTTCTCCTGTGGAGATAAACATTTCCAAAATATTTATACAGTTTCTTTTACATTCAGTGTGTCAACAATGTATATCTAATTGTTCCCTGTTTATTCGTATGTATAGATAAGAACATATGGTCATTTTCTTGTAAGAATATGTTAGAGGTAACGTGAAATGCTCATATTGCTTTGCTATTTGGGTACAGGTTTATACAATGTTTAATTTAGTGTATTGTATGTTACTTAAATGTTTCACCAAGTTAACATCAGTGAATAATGATAGCATTTAAAATAAAGAAAGGTAAGGATTTCAAATACCTGAGTAAATAAACAACAAATACACACAACCTAATATTGCATTTGCTGCAAACTTAAATAGTCCCTCCAATAATAAACAAAACCAGAGTGCAATGTGGTAACTTTTCATATTTTCTAACATATACTATTTATCATTTATTATCTTTTGCTATTAGCGGGATAAGTTATTTCCAAAGGTATACATTTCTCTACAGAACATAATAAATTTAATAACCAAGAACTGGCACTTAATTTTGTTATTTGTTAAAGCAATGTCTGTTCCTATAATTTCATGTTTTATGCAATTAAGACTCAGACTTCAATACAACTTAGGTGAGAAAAATATAGTAAAACCGGGTGACTCTGAATGTCTTCAAGTTAGCAATTGGTGATTTTGGGTTAATATCATAAGCAATAGTGTATTATAATTTTCATTTACACAAACACTGAGGAACATAGTGGACAAAAATCATGATAAATAAAATGCCAGGCAGAAATTTGTATTCAAAATAACTCTTGACCCACCCCCAAATCCATTTTTATATTAAATATTTAAGGGGAAAAGAGTAACAATTCTCTTTAAATCCTTCTGAAAACATACAAGAGAGGAAATTTTTCCAACCTTCTGAGGAGAACTTCCATAGTGTCAAAGGCAGATAAAGTCATCATCTTTGTGAAAACTCTAAACAAAAGCCTGCTGAATGAATATAGCAACATGCCAAATAGTAATATACCATGTTAGGTTAAAGTTAGAAATTTACTTTTGTTATAATATTCACAACTGTAATGCCTCTCACTATGTCAGGTACTTAAAATAAAAAGCACTAAATCAATCTCAATAGATGCTGAAAGAGTTTAAGTTCTTAAAAACATCAAGGACACCTTTGACAAAACTAATAGTAAGATAAAACTTCCATAAACTAGGACCATTCTTTTTTTCTTTGTTCTGTCCTTCATTTCAACTCATAATTTTTCCTCATTTTCCTCCACAAAGAGTGACTTTATTTTTAATTCCAACAGAGAAATCTCTTCATTAACGAAAAGGTATTTTTCTAAATTGATGGTATTAAGTATATATCTAGGGCATCTCTTTCCACAATATATTCCTACCACAGTATCTCTGCTTTTGTTTGTAAGGCTCGGTTGACCAGTAGTCACAGGGTACCCTCTTCAAATGTCAAAATTTAAGTATCATGGATAAATACTATCTGTGTGTCTACAAGAGTTGCAAACAAGACTGCCCCTGTGTGTGTGTGTGTGTGTGTGTGTGTGTGCATGTGTGTGCCTGTGTGTGTGTGTACATGAGTACAAACTAGAAAGGAAGATCTTTAAAAACTACTGAATACAAAAATGATAAATGCAGCACTAGGCTTTTAAAGCCTATACAAGGTAAATAATCACAAAACAAGAGAAAGAATAATGATATATATGGTTAGTAAATAAACACATTACCAATGATAATTTCTATATGATTGACAAGTTTTTGCAAAGGCTTATCTGTGATAAAGGAGATAATTCATTCCGATCAGATTAGTATGAAAACAAACAGAAAACAATGCCCTAACTTTCAATGTATATAAAATATTAACTTTTTCTGATAAAAATAAATCAAAGACTTAGGTGAAAATATAAAGTTAATTTTATTCCCATGAATTGCTCATTGTGAAATCCCGTATGATTTAATACAGGAAAATTGAGTTATTTACTCATAAAGTATCAGTGCACTTAAGGTTAAGAAAATCCCCTTTGCTAATTAAATTATATTTCGAAACGAAGCAAGGCAAAGCAAGAAGCCGGATGAGGAGGGTTGTCCAGAGCTCCACCTTCCCAGGTCACGGCAGTTGTAACCGCAGCTCATGCACAAGCTAACTTGCAAGAGTTAAAGCAATCAGGTAGCAGACCCAGGGCCTGGTTTCAGTATAATGAAAAGAAAGCTGGAGGAGGAAAGGGAAGAGTAGTCCGCATTACTTTTCCCATAGCCCTAAGCACTACAGCCAAGAAAGCAGTGTCTCCAAATCCTGGAGGGAAGAGGAGGTAAGAACCGAGTCCAGGATACAGACCTGAAATGCAGGACCAAGCCCAGCACAGCGAACCCTAGCGGTGGGAGAGCTCCGTGCCTTCTACCCAGAGGCCCATCTCTGCAGACTGAGCTCCTAACCGCTGTCCCTGCTGCAGAGAGATGTCTCCACCACCTCTCCTCCAAACTCATTCAATAGCCAGGAAGCAAAAAAAAAAAAAAAAAAAAACAACAACAGTACACGCCTTTGTCTTGAACCTCAACACCAGAGCCGCTGTGCTGAGAACCATCGCGAGAAAGAAAACAAAACCCTTGTGCGCAGCCAGAGCCCAGAGACGATGCTGAAGAGGGGCCCCTTTCACCCCGCATCACTGCGAGCTGTACAGCGGGCTCGGGCCACACCCCGACCCAGTGTGGGCCTGCGCAGTGAGAACCAGCTGTGACCCAGCATCAGAGGAGCTGCCCCAGGGCCTGTCCTCAACGCCAAGCACCTAACGTGTGCCTTTCAGCTGTCCCCGGAGCAGCGGTCACAGACAGGTCCTGGCAGTAGGCTAAGACCGGTTCCTTAGTGACAGATTCGGGATTTGGCCTCCATCGCTGTCAGATGGGGATGGGTCTTGGAAGGCCTCTGAGACCTGGCAGATCTTTACGGCTGGGCGAATATGGCATTCGCCAGCTTCGCAAAGCTCCAGTAATGAGAACAGCGTGGCACTGGCGCAAGAGCAGACACGTGGGCCAAGGGAACAGCAAAGAGGGCACAGAAACAACCCCGACGCATGGGGCCTTCTGGTCCTTGTC